GTTGCGTTATAAACGTTTCTCTCGAGCATACAACTGGTCCTGGCACACGTGGCGCTCAGGACACATAAATAAATAAATTTTAGGTGGATATACTTTATGGTTACTCCAACAATTTATTCTTTTGTATCAATATCTCTCGGCAGCATTATTTTGGGTTGATTCAGAGCTATATGCGATAGCGCGATATTGAACGATGTCTCTACTGCTTCTGAAGAGAATACTGACAATGACCTACCGTAATATTTTTCTACGATTCACCTCAACCTAACATTTCAAATGCTAACGGCAGGAAGGAACAAGAAAGAAATACTGAATGAGTTTGTTGGAACCACATAATAAAAACTACCATTTCAATTTTTGTTTTGAAGCTGTACCGTTACTCTTGTAGATACTCATTTTGAAATTTTTCAGCATCACATTCTGCTTATCAATGCGCTTCTACCAGGCTGCCATATACACTAAAAACCCTGTCCTAAGCCATGGTTTATTTTGGCAGGTAACTTAAAGAGTCAGGCGTTGAAAAAAGGGCCATCATTTATTGCAGAAAAGATGCGATCATGGATTCTCTTGAAAAAACGCCCCAATTATACACTTGCAAGTGAGATGTTGAATAATGTTATACGGTGAACCCGTTTTTAGGCCATGCATTTTAGAATGGCCGCATTATCTATTTCCATATTTGTATTGAAAAATCTTCAATAAAAATGCACTTGGTACTCATACTATGTATGCCTATTGTTCGCAGAACGTTTGTGCTGCCAGCACTCTCTGAGATATTCATTTGAATAAATGTATCTGTGCTTTTGAATGAACGTTTTCAGTATTATTTGAGTGTGCGTTTAGTAAATGTGTCTACGGTCATGATCTTCATCTTAAGTGTAGACTAATAGTGATGCAATAAAACACCTGTGACATTTGCACAACTAAAAATTTCCCAGTGAAATTTCTCATGTAGCATAACCATGTTCATTCTGAAATATTGGCAGCACAAACTAACGGAGTGCAAAAGGAGGAGACAAACAAGCGCTTACTGAAAGTTGGTTTTCCACAGAAAGTAATATATACCCAAAAAACACGAATGGAATTGTGTTCGAAAATGGACAGTAAATGTGTCCCAAAAATGACATGAAAAGCAAGATGAAGGGAGAACCCGTGAAGAGCATTTGTGGTGGTAGACACGTCAATTGTTTCACCAAGGGTCCTCGAACGTAGTTCAATGGGCTCATTGCCCTTCATCGTATCATTGCCCTTCATCGTCTATTCGCGTCCCATAATACCGAATTTGATATAAGTGGAGCTAGCGAAACAGCCGCAAGCGCAACATGAGCGTGGGTTGTAGTCATGTTCTTACATTACAGGCATCACATGATTATCATGTTTGCACCAGTCGCATACCTTCGTCATCCATTCACGTCACGTTAACCCAAACTTGGTATATGTGAAGTTAGCGAAATGGCGGTGAGCGCATCATGAAAGGCCCAATATACTCCGACATAACGTTGACGCGCGTGCACGCTGGGCGCAGTGACGTTATCCAGACAGCACCGCGTCTGCCTCTTTTCGTGACGAAGGGATGCCGGATGCGCTCAAACACGTATGCCTCAAAGCAATGTAGCTCGGCACTCTCTGCGAGTATATGGCAGGCAGATCAGCGCTTGCGTAGCAGAGCCGGCGTGACGCTACGGAACGAGCGTGGCCAAGCAAGTGCTCCATGTTACGTTGAAGTGTACTGGCACCTTGAGTGTTTCATATAGTCTTGTTACCACATGACATGCCTATTATGACTATCATGTTTGCACCAGTCACGTACCTTCGTCATCCGTTCACGTGACGTAATACCAAATTTAGCATATCTGACTGAAGCTAGAGAAATGGCCATGAGCTCATCATGAGTATGACACGTAGTCACGTGACGAAGGTATGTGACTACAGGCCATGACAAGCATGTTATGATTATCATGTTTGGACGTGTCATTTACCTATGCCATTCACGTTCCCGCCACGTGATACCAAACTGAGTACTCAATCTGAAGAAAATGGCCGCGAGCGCATCATGAGCGGGGCATTTAGTCATGTTGTTACATGACATGGACATGATGATTATCATGTTTGCACTAGTCACATACCTTTGTCATCCATTCACGTCCCGTAATACGAAACTTGGTATATGTGAAGCTAGCGAAACGGCCGCAAGTGCATCACGAGCGTGGTGTGTAGTCATGTTGTTACATGACACGCATGTCATGAGTTTTATATTCGAGGACGTCACTTGTGTTTGCCATATAATCATGCCATGCCATACCAGTTTTGCAACATGTCACATGAACGAAACTGCCACAAGAGCATCAAGGCCATGAAATGTAAATTATGTCATTATTGACATACATGTCATGATTTTCATGTTATGACTAGTCACTTATGCTTGTTATAGAGTCTTATTAGGCATTACATATTTTAGTACCGATACTTGTAGCGAACCGATCAGGAGAGCTATAAGTCGTAGGCGGATAGATAAATAGATAGATAGATAAATAGATAGATAGATAGATAGATAGATAGATAGATAGATAGATAGATAGATAGATAGATAGATAGATAGATAGATAGACTCAAAGTCGCCGAAGTTCCCTAAAAATGTTTCGCATTTAAATCTTGTACTCAAAAAGCCAATTGTTACTAGCGGTAGGAGAGAAAATACAGGAATTCAGAGTTTCGTTACATAATACATTCGAGGCGCTAAACGAGATAACCGACGTTAGCGTTGACACAGTGAACTATAATCTTACTTTTACTATTAAAGAGTGTGCAATGGAAGTCGGTGGTACTGTCACTGGACAGGACACTGGTAAACTGTCTGAGAAGGCGAAACATCTTATTAAGAGACAATAACATGCTTCAATGCAAACCGACATAATAGAGCTAGTACAGCTGTCGAAGTTAATCAATACGTGTAGGGTAGCCAGCGAATAAATGGTGTAATATGAATAGAAGTGAGCAGGCTGTAAAACGTGGCAGTAGCCTGAAATCTGTGAAGGCAAATTTCTCTCTAGGCAAAAATCGGATGTGTGCATTCAGGAACAAGGACGGCAATGTCATAAACAATACGAATAGGATAGTCGAGATTGTGGAGGAGCTCTACAGAGAGCTGTAGAGAAGCCGAAACAGGCAGAATAATATCATGGGAACCGATAATTCTCCAGAGAAATTCAACATCCTACAAGTAACGACAAGGTAAGTAAGGAAAGTCCTAGAAAGAATGCAAAAAGGGAAACCTGTTGGTGAAGATAATGTAACAACGGACCTCCTGAAAGATGCCTGAGAAATTGTCTTAGAAATACTGGCCACCATATACGAAGTGTCCCTTAACGGGAAGGATGCCATAATCTTGAAAGGACAATTTCGTAAAGCCTACTCTATAAAAGACCTTGTTCATAGTATCAATCAGGTAAAAGAAGAATGCGCGGAATACAACGAATTTCGATGCATAGCCTTCATAGAATAAGAGAAAGCGTTTCATTCAATTGAGACATCGGCAGTATTGCAAACACTACGGAATCAGCCCATCGAAGAACCCTACATTAACATACTGGAAGAAATATGCAGTGGATCTACAGCCACCACTGTTCTCTATAAGGAAAGTGATAAAATCCCAATAAAAAATGGTGTAAGGCAGGGAAACACGGTCTCTCCCATTCTATTCACCGCGTGTTTACAAGAGGTTTTCAGGACACTACATTGAAAAGAGTTAGAGATAACTGTTAATGGAGTGTCTTAGTAACCTGCCATTCGCTGATGACATTGCCTTGATGAGTACCTCAGAGGATCAAATACAGCTCATGATTCTGAACATAACATCGAAAACAGAAAAGTAGGTTTTAAAATTATTGCACCTAAAACGAAAGTATTGTGTTACAGTCTCGGCAAAAAAGATCATTTTGCAATAGGTAGAGAGACTCTATAAGTTGCAAAGAAATATACCTACTTAGGACAGGTAGTAACGGCGAAGCCAGACCATAAGAGTGAAATAACTAGAAGAATAAAGATGGGGTGAATCACATTCGGCAAGTCTTCTCAAATCATGAATGATAATTTGCCACTAATCCTCAAGAGGAAGGCATATAAAAGCTGCATTTTTCCAGTACTTACCTATAGAGTGAAACCTAGAGGATTACAACGAGGGTTCAGCCTAAATTTAAGATGGCGCAGTGAGCGATGGAAAGAAAAGTGATTGGTGTAACCTCAAGAGACAAAAAAAGCAGATGACCAAAGAACAAACCCAGGTTAAGGATGTTATAATTAAAATCAAGTAGAAGAAATGGTGATGGGCCGGGAACGTATCACGTAGGCAGGATAACCGCTAGTTATTAAAGGTATCCTACTGAATACCCAGAGACGGCTGACGCACAAAAGGGAGACAGACAGTTGGGTTGGCTGGTGAGAATCAAAAGTTTGCAGGTGTAAAGTCGCGAACGATAGCACAAGAGCAGCTTGATCGGTAGCACATGGGAGATTTCTTTGCCCTGCAGGGGGCGTCGTCAGACTAAAGATCATGATGTTATAGATAGGGTGAGTAACTTATCGAAAGACATTGGATATTGCTTTCTGCGATGAAAGTTCCGTGTCCGCAATTGCACAGTTTATCGCAGGTTGCAGGACAAGCCTTATCAGAGGATTCTGATGTGCCCTTCGGGGAGTCGCAACCCTTGAATTCACCAGATATGAGATACTTTTTTTTATATATTTCGCTATTCTGTATAGAATTTCATATCGTAATTCATTTTAATCTGGATGCTTGTAGGGAAATGTAAGGTGTACCGCGCAGTACACTTGTCGGCTGATAGTTCTTAGGAGGTATATTACGGGGAAACTCTCTCATAGGAAAGGGCTTGCTAGATTTGAGGTACACAGTGGTCGACCTCAGCAACACATGCGCTTATTATCAGTGAACTGATTGTGTCATTTGTATTTTTTGTTCCAATATGATAGTGACTAAGACGAGTGACATATAAAGCGCACTGAGGAAGGGCTTCTCAACGCAAGTTTGCAGCAAGTTCCTCTCTTTCGTAGAAACGTACTATGACGCACGGTAAGAAATTTTTGATAAAATATTACAAGTCAGCCTGATGTCACATGCGTAAAGTTACATCATGGCATAGTTGTGTTTCAAGCAGGTTTATTTCGGCGCCAGATCAAAAGCGCAATTACTAATGTAAATAGCAGGTTTTAGATTAACCAAGAAAAGAGGGATTCACGAAGTTTAAAGCTTGACGGAAGCCCATCAGGCCGGGATAATACATGGTTGAAGGTTTTCACTGTTTAGAATAACCAAGAAAAGAGGGATTCACGAAGTTTAAAGCTTGACGGAAGCCCGTCAGGTCGGGATAATACATAGTTGAAGGTTTTCACTGTGAATGAAGCTTCCGTGTGGGAGCTCAAACGTCTTTTTTCTGTGTTTTTTTTTAACTTTATCTTTGGTTGGCACAGTGCCTTCAGGTTTTTTAGCTTCAACCAAAAATAAAGAGACCACAACGAGTACTGCAATGACCTATTTTGCGCTGCCTTAAAAATGAGTACCTATTGGTGCGGACTGAGATAGCGCTATAACAAACATGCTTAAAGTTGTATCATGTTGCGCCCTTCATGCAGTTGTTTGCGTGGATACCAGTACCCATGTCGACACAAACAATACCAATTTCTAACAAATATCTTTATTTTTCATTCCTAATTAAACAGTTATGATGAAGCCATCTGGTGCTGTTCTTTGTGTGCTTCTCCTGTGCATTATGAGTGGTGAGTACTCCTATTCGTACTTGAGTAATGCATCGAAGAATGCAACTGATGAAGTTCTTCTAGCTTATGTGTATATAGCTTTATCGGTTGATTTTATTTGCGTGTCTTTGTGTCAACACATATTCATTCCGGACTAACTTTCGTTGCAGATGCTTTCCCTTCTTTATTTTAAACGACACCCATGAGATAGTGTACCACTGCCAACCATGGAGTGCTTTTCTCAGCTGAATACCATTTGACGACATAGATTTGAGAAGCAATAACGAACAGTTATTCATACGTGAGGATGCATTTGACGCCAATTATATGACGATACACAGTTTAAGAGAAAAGAACGAGCGCTGTTGCCATTCGCAGCCCATCCTTTTCGTCGGCTTAACGGTCCTTCTTCAATTCTGGCCAAAAGTATCCTAAGAAAATTGAAACTAAGGCTTTGCCAGGTCAGTTAACCTAGCTTACGTACAGAGTTATTAGCGACCGGATCTATTACAGTGAGATTAAGCATCACCTTCCTACATAGGATTGTTTACACGTCATCTTAAGCTGAAAACAGTGCTCAACGAACATTTGAAAGTGAGAACACTACGAGTAAATATCGATTACTTATGGTTCCTAATTTTGCTTTGTTTCTACGCGCGCATAATATTTTTGGCTGCATAAAAGAAGTGTGATTCTAAGGGGTGGTTATCTTTGTACAAACAAGTTATTGAGAACTAATCAACAATGATGCCAAAGAACGCACAGGGAATTGTGTTAAATGTAGCAAAAAAATAAATGAGACCGAGCAAATGTGGACTGAAAGATCGCTTGCACTGTCAGGGACCAAATCTTCGGCCCTCGAATAGCAGTCCGATGCTCCACAACTAAGCTATGGTGGCGGTCATCCCTTGGTTCACTTCGTAGGGTAGATATCTGCATATAATCATGGGAGCGTTATCACTGCCACTTTATACAACTACGGCGAGTGTAAAGCACTCTTTGTGCCGGTTGTGGTCACGTAGCACGTGATTCTATTACGAGCTGACAGCTGACCAATATTTCTCGCACACTACCTAAAGGCATCAAGTCTACCAGAAAGCGGCTTTAATTGTGGATTAAGAAAAAAATATTTGTACTATTTGCTTTTTTAGACAAACAATAATGACAACTAACACACAATGATGCCAAGGAAAGCATAGAGGATGTTATTAGAAGTTGTTGTAATGTAAATGAAAAGAATGAAGAAAGGAAAATAGAGGGAAAAGAAAGGCAAGGAGGTTAACCAGCCTATAGGCAGCCAGTTTGCTACCCTGCGCATGGGAGAGGGATGAGGGAGATGAAAGAGAGCAGAGAGGGAAGATAGGAACAGCACATTCGGCAGCACATGCGCGCACACTCAGTCATAGTCCAGTCTTGTCTTTCGCGGTGTGTGACATTGCTGTTACAGTCGCTTGTTCAAGTCGGTGTCGCGTAGGAATTTCAACAGAGCTTTCGTCGCCTTCTGTTGCAGTGTCTTCTCTCGGGCACTTGACAGAATAGTGTCTACAGACATTTGGCTGTTGTCGATGCGCGCAAAAGCAGACGCCAGTGACTGTCTCTGGATTTCATACAATGGACAGTCACACAGGATGTGGTGTAGCGTCTCTTCGCAATGACAGGCATCGCAGAGAGCGTTGTCGGCCATTCCTATGACAAAGGAGTAAGATTTTGTAAATGCCACTCCTAGCCATAAGCGATGAAGTAGGGTGGCTTCTCTTTGGTCGAGTCCAGTGGGCATGCGGAGAGCCATCAAAGAGGACAGGTGGGGTTGACGATTCGTATCGATGCTTGGTGGGCACCATAGTGAAAACGTGATTTCACGCGCAAGTCGTCGAAGATTACTGGCAGCATCAGTCCTCGAAAGTGGTATGGCTTCTTCTCGTGTTCCTTCAAGGGCTGCCCGCGCGGCAGTATTGGCATGTTCGTTCCCTATGATGCCGCAATGACTTGGCAGCCATTGAAGCGTCACATGATGCCCTTTCTCGAGTAAAGTGTGGAGAAGGCATGGAATTTTGAAAACAAGCTGTTCGTACGGGCCGCGACGCAGTGCTGAGAGCACAGATTGTAGGGCAGCCCTTGAGTCGCTGAAAATCGACCATTGTTGCGGTGGTTCCCGATCGACCATACAAAGTGCAGCGCGCAAAGCAGCTAGTTCCGCTGCTGTAGATGCCGTGGAGTGGTCAGTCCTAAAGCTGATGGTAACACCTCTTGCTGGGATAACTACTGCCCCTGACGAACACTGGTGGTTCGTGGAACCATCGGTGTATACATGTATGCTGTCTGAATATTTCTCGTGCAAAAGAAGAAGAGACAGTTGTTTCAGCACGGGCGACGAAAACACAGATTTCCTCCAGATCCCTGGTACACTAAGATGCACTGTGGGTCGAATAAGACACCAAGGTGGTATGGATGGTTTAGATGCATGAGTGAAGCCCGAGGGAAGTTTATCGTTGTATTTCACGATAATTTTGGCGAACGATGCTTGGCGCCTCTCTGAAGGCAACAGTGCAAGGTGATGGCCGGGGGCACGTGCAAAGTGTCGGATGTGCGTTCTCAGGACTTCTACAACAATGTGAGTTTGTATCGGATAGTCACCAGCAATTGCAATTGTTGCTTCTGTTGACGTACATCTGAGCAGACCGAGGCACACTCTCAGCGCTTGGGCTTGTACTGCCTGTAAAACACGAACATTGGTCTTGCAGGTATTCCTAAGCACGGGCAAGCTATATCTGAGGAAACCGAGAAACAGGGCCCTGTAGAGCTCCATCATTGCGTCTACTGACATCCCCCACGTCTTTCCTGCCAGGAACTTGAACAGTTGAGAAATAGCGGTCAGGCGCTTCTTCATATAGATCACATGCTGACTCCAACAGAGGTTCCTATCAATTATGATGCCCAGAAACCGGTGGGTTTTGGCGTAAGAAATCGGTCGCCCGCAGATTGAGATGACATAAGGGGTCATTGCTTTGCGAGTGAAAGCCACCAGTGCGCATTTTTCTGGTGATATGCTGAGACCTTGTTTGAACAAGTAGTTGGCAATTATAGTGGCTGCTTTTTGAAGCCGGGAACGTATCTGAGGTCGTGTGACTGCCGATGTCCAGACACAGATGTCGTCTGCGTATATTGAGATTTTAATGGCGCTTGGCAAGTATTCAGCAAGGCCAATTAGTGTAAGATTGAATAGCGTCGGGCTAAGAACTCCCCCTTGAGGAACACCCCTGGAAGTATAGCGTCGCGTAGTTGGGCCATCTTCTGTTAACACAAAGAATGATCTTGCAGCCAGGTAACTCGAAATCCACCGAAAGACTCGACCACCAAGGCCAACCACCGCAAGAGCACCCAAAATGGCTTCATGTAGTACACTATCATAAGCGCCTTTGACATCTAGAAACAAAGCTGCAGATAGTCGCTTACGGGATCTTTCGTGCTGAATGTACGAAACTCGATCAACGACATTGTCAATAGAAGAGCGGTCGCGTCGGAAACCAGCCATTGAATTCGGATAAATCTTGTAGTACTCAAGATACCACTCCAGGCGGCCTAGTATCATCCGTTCCATTATCTTCCCTACGCAGCTGGCCAGTGCTATTGGGCGGTATGAGGTTAGTTCGAGTGGGGATTTGCCCTGCTTCAAGATGGGTAACAAGCGGCTTACTTTCCAGTCATCAGGAACATTGCCATCCTGCCACGAGATGTTGTAGAGGCTCAACAGTTCTCTCCTTGCACCTTCCCCAAGGTTGCACAAGGCTCGGTACGGATTGCCATCTGGGCCCGGAGAAGTTGAACGCCTGCAGAGAGCTAGTGCCGCCTCGAGCTCCTCCATTGTAAAAAGGAGGTCCATGTGGTAGTCACGGGAACGGGGGACGTCACCTCTCACTGGAAAATTTGGACGAGTGGCTTGGTTGGCGATCTGCGCACAGAAATCTTCTGCGACATCGATGTCTTGCCTCCTTTGAAATAGCGCGAGCGCTTTGAATGGAAAGCGTTGTTCCGTAGGGTGACGCAGACCTTGCACCGTTTTCCAAATGTGTGAGAGTGGCTTGCGAGGGTCTAATGACTGGCAAAACGTTGTCCATCGTTCCGACGCTAATCTATCCATGCGACGCCGAATCTTTTTTTGCATCCTCCTTGCTGCCCTAAGATCGGGAATTGATTTTGTACGCCGATACCGACGCTCCGCCCGGCGTCGCAGTGCTCGGAGTCGCTCCAACTCTATATCAAAGTCGTTTCGTGTGGAAGATATCGTCACCGTACGAGTGGCGTTTTGCATTGTGCTCTTAATTGTTTCCTCTAACCCAGATCGTAGGCCATCGCTGCAAGCATCTTCCATGTCAGTTGAAGTTGGTCCATTGGACTGCTCGAACGGTCGTCCGTTGACCATAACTAGACAAGCCTTTGATGTTAAGGTAGATTGGAATGGGATCACTTCCTCGTGTCTCAACATCTGGAAACCACTTGACGTATCTCGCGAGGGAGTTGGAGGCAAAAGCAAGGTCGAGACAGCTGCCGTATGTCACCCCTCGAAGAAAAGTGGGGCTGCCGTCGTTCAGGAGAGTGAGGCCATAGTTGTAGGCGATGTTTGCTAACCTGCGTCCTCTTGCATTTGTCCGCGTACTTCCCCATGCGTGATTGTGCGCATTGAAATCACCTATGAGGACCCATGGTGCAGGACACACTCTCAAAATATCCGCTAATCTTCTTGAATCGGGATTATTCGACGGCGATATATAAACGCCTATGGGAGTAAACATGAGTTGGTTCTTTTTCACAGTGATGCAGACATACTGATTGTCATCGTGAGGTGCAATTGAATGCACAACATACGTCAGTTCACGACGAACAAAGACGATGATTTTGCTGCACGCACCGTTCATTGAAGACATGACAGCCTCGTACCCCGATAGTCTTATTGGTTTAGAAAAATTGGGTTCACAAATGACGATCATTCGAAACACGTTGGTAAACACAAACTGACGAAAATC